CAATTGACTTGATAGAAATTAATTAAAGCACAACCATACTGAACATATAACACTAAACACAAATGCCCAGGTTAAGGCAATGAGACATTCAAGCAATGAAGGGTGACTTTGGTGTGATGTCAGTACTCTCTTGAGACCTTCACAAGAAAATGACAGCCTTTGTCATTTATTCAAATGAAGAAAAAAAAACATATATTAATAGTCACCTGGCAAGTACCACTAGTGGCCGTTACATTGATGACTTGATTGTCAAGAGCAAAAGAGGAAGTAGCATGAAAGAAAACCTAAGTGAACATTGTTTAATCATCAGTGTGACGATTGATTTCCCTTCTTTAAACAATTATACATGTGTATCTAATAACTGTGAAAAGATTGTGACAATTCCCAAGGGGTCGCCCGTTTAGATTAACCGAAACAGAATCCAAACCTGAATCTGACGCTCCTCTCAGGTTTACATAGCTCCATGTCTCTGCAGAAGTCATTTTATAGTCAATAAGCTCTGATGGAGCTGTCGCCCCGTCACTTTCCAAAAGATCATTTAAGAGGAGTTGTTTTCAAATGGGTCCATTATGTTTAATTGACTCTATCCTGACCCTCCTCAATGACACTCTGTTATTACGATTTAGGAATAATCGCTGCTTTATCCTTTAGATGTACCGCAGAGTGCTGAGGTCTGCTGGGCACTGATTCTCTTTAAGATTATTCTCTATTGTTCTCTCATTTAGGAATAAGTTGGAGCCCATAACGATAATTATATGAGGGAAGAATAAGTCCTCACACAATCACAGTTACTGTCTTGATTGAATGTTTCAGATTAATAGCCTTGGTGTAAATGAGAAACTTGTGAATGAGGTTCATAAAGAAGGAGAAGTTCCATTTTCATTCAGAAATGTTTCGTAATTTTATCTCCGTTTAAGTGAGGCCAATCGCACCAGTTATGCTTCCTTCCTCATTTGGAGAAACCATTTCTGCTTTTCATTGAGAAAAGACATTTTGATGTTTCATTCACCAAATCCAGTAAGAGCATGCCTGTTTGATTTCACATTTGCTTACTTTGCTAAAGAGCCTGGTGGCTTTACCATTTGCTGTTTGATAAAACTGCTATAGATGTTTTGAGATGCATGCGTTTAAACCATTTGTACATGCACATTTTCAGAAACTAAAACAAATAAATATTAAGTAACTGATGGTTTTCTGAAGAGTGGAAGCAAATGTCCCTCTTCGTAGATTTGACCCAAAACACAATACACACATAAAATAACATTGTCTTTCTACAATAAATAAAAACACCTGAAAGGACAGTTTGGTGAGATACAAAGAAAGTGAAATATAGACTTCAAAGGTGTGGACATGCAGAGTATGGGTGAACTTTTATAAATGTTCTTGTTTAAAGATCATAATACTGTATAGGTGTGGACTTAATTCGAATTTTTGATTATTAAATATTTCCTTTATGTACAGCTCTGGAATAAAAATTAGGAGACCCTTTTTTTCCCCTTAAATCTCAATCTCTACATGTATGGCAGCCATTCCATTCCAGTGTATGTTGAAATCCAACACAGATAAATGTTGTCAGTAGTTAATAGAATAAAATAAAACATGTTCCTTTTTCTCAAACATATACCTATACACTAAATAGTAAAAACCAAAGAATAATGCTACAGTGGTGAAAAATGTTTTTCGGGGTGTATATATATTGTGTAACTTTGGTTAACTTTTGTTACAATGACCATTGTTTGTTAAATGCACTTGTTACATGCATCACAGAATTAGCCCCTTAGGCCTAAAAATGAAGGTCTGCTGTGTTTCCCAGTAGATTAAAATCCCAGTGTGCACATCTGGAAAACCTATATCTCTCCCATCATCTATTTCCTTTCCTTTTTTCTAATTATGGTCAAATCCTCTCCTTTGATTCTATACCAGACATCCCTATCAACCTTGAAAATAAACCAAAATGCTGTGTCTCCTAAGGGCCATAGGACACACACATGACTTGAATGAGAATTTAAGCTTTGGTCATCTTCAAATCCTACAGCGCGTTTTATAAAAACTTGCTGTATCCATTTACGTTAAATGGTAAATCAATTAAAAAAAAACTGATTCTTAGTCTTTTTAGCAGTTATTTGGCGTTTGGGAGCTTTTTATAAAGCTACAAAAATAAAACGAAAATAAATCCACACTTAGTTTTTTGTTAAATAAGATAATTCAAATGTTGATATGATTCGTCTTGCAATAAGTCCCTCTCAAACAAGTCCAGACTTGACTAAAACGGCAGATGACCAAATTTGGGTGGAGGATGTTCTTGGAAATATGCGGTGGAAAGGATCTCCTTCCTTCCCTTTTTTTGCCCCTCCACTGACCATGACAGTCAGCAGCAGAGAGAAAGGGGGAGAGATAGAGAGAACGATGACACATTGGGTCGAGTGACAAGCACATGATGCTGCTTCTTTAATATTGCTGAAATCAACAGAATATCTAAATCCAATCATTAGGCAGAATTTATAATTAACTAGACTGGAGAGGTGCCAGTTTACCTTCTGGTCACTGCCGAGGTGTCCTTAAGCAAGGCACCGAACCCCCCCACCACCACCACTCCCTGGGCACTGTACAATAGCTGCCCACTGCTCCTAGTAGGATGCGTTAAATGCAGAGTTCAAATGTGGCTGTATGTGCTGTACTGTGTGCATGCTCTTGTGTGACAAAAGAAAGAGCGTTTCATCTCCAATTCTTCAATTCTTCAAATAAGGAATGTTACCGCTAATACAGAATAATATGAATGCCCATCCATCTATTCATTGTATTTATATGATTTTTAGTCTAGTTCACCTTGTGTATGAACCCTAGGGGGGTGCAGTGTATCCTACCATGCATTGTGTGAGAGGCTGGGAACAACATGGACAGGATGTAATCAATCACAGCTGACGTTTATAGACACATTGACACTCACATTGCCACGTACAGGCACATGTCCCTGATCCACTGAACTTGCTTTAAATCTTTATACTGAGGGAAGAAATACCCAGTGGAAACATGAAAAATAAACACTTGTGCAAACTCCATGCAAAATTAATAAAAGAATATCAAACTTATGTTTCAAAAATCTAATAAACACAAGTAAGATTTAAGTGTTGTTGTTATCTCTACATTCCTATAATGTATTTAACTTTTACTTGTTTGTTACTTGTGGTGATAAAAGTGTTAAAACTGTGGCCTGCTCTGAGTACTGAGGTCAGCCCAGTTAATGTCGTGATGAAATCACAAAAAAGGGAAATGGTTGACACCAGCATCATCCAAGTGTGTCCTCCACCCTCATACACACACATTATGTAGAAAGCCATACGACACAATTCATCCGGTCAGTTTTTCCTACTTCCTTTTTTTTTTTATATAAATACTGGAGGTCTGGTCCAAGGAGATCATTCACCTCCATCAGCCAGATCAAACACTGAGCTCCTGCAAAGACCCTCTCCCGCTCTAAAACATGCAGCTGTGCATCAGAAGACTGGCCTGCCTGGCTTTCCTCACCCTGGTTCTGGCAATGACCGCAACGGCCTCTGGTAAGTCTTCTTTTTCAGATCCTTCACCATAGATTAGTACTTGCCTACTCCAGGACAGTTTGAGTACATTTGGAAATTGTATCAGGCCATGCACGTTTCAAATGGCTGACTTTTTAAGAAAATGTAGGCCTACAACAAACTGCATTTATTCATATGTGATGCTGCACATTCAAGAGATGTATGCTCATAACAACCAATCATTTTTTGTTTTCTGAATCAACAGAAATAAAGATAATCAAGTGCTGCACCAAGGTTGGTACTGTAAAGATCACCGCTCCCATCATTGGCTACAGGATCCAGAGGAGGACTGCCTCATGTGTAGCCGCTGTCGTGTGAGTATTATCTACTTATTTTAAGTGATGATTTAAATTGGTATACAGTTGAAAATGTAAGTTATCTATGAAAATTGGTTTGAAGGTTGTTAATGATCTTTTCTACCTTTTTCCTTCCAGATTTGAGACCACAGAGGGAGTGGTCTGCAGCCACTGGAAACAGGGCTGGGTGAGAGATAGGATCAGAGAGCTAGAGTGAGTAGGCCTTTGTCATCTCTGTCAATCTTAAGTATTGGACCATTTTGATGGTGGTTGCTTTAGACATGATGTATCAACTCTTCTGATATTTGAACCTGTTGTTTGTGTGTTTTACAGGCAGGCCCGCAGAGAAAACATCACCGCTGCCCCTACAACCAACAGCACTTAGAAATCTGTCCACAGTATCATCAAATATATCTATGGCAAATCTTGAATAATCTAAGATATTTAAAATGCTTTGTAATGTATTGTAGGATATTTAATATTTATAATTAGCGCTATTTATTTGTCAAGGCTTAGCAGAGATAACAAGTGTCCAATACTGACAGTTGCATGTTGTATGCTTTATAAATAAATAAATGTTCTTGTCTGTAATCGAGAGGTGTCATTGTGATTGTTTGATATTAGATATATGAGGTAGCTTTGCTTATTAAATGATCATACTAACCTCATGATGTAGCTGACAGAGGCTCAGTTTTTTACAGAGCGATTGTGCCATCTAGTGGGGACCTGAATTTACTTCAGGACAGTTTGGATCAGAAGAGCGTGTCATTGAGGGAGTCACCTTGTCTGACGAGAGCAGCAACCCCTCAGGGGGCCGATCTTAAATAGCACATGAGACTGCCTCTATCAGTCAAGTCACGCATCTGCATGAGCTCGAAGGCAGGACAGCTCATAGAAAAGTTTTCAGACACCTTGCAGCAGATGTGCTGGCAGCATCCTTTTCTGCACCAGGCACCATGTCACGCCACAAAAAAAACACCATGCAGAGAGCCGGCTATGAGATTGGATAAAGGCACTACTGCTAAGAATGATGACAGTTTCAAAATTGCTGTTATTATTTACATTGACTGACACAATTGAATGAGAGCTGTAGTTCTCAGTACAAAATATGGACAACAATGATGGAATACTGGATAGAATAAAGTACCGGTACATTTATTTTTTTATGAGAATTGCTAATGGCATGTTTTAGCACATTCAATGGATTAAGCAGCAGATTTAAAGCAGGCATTAAAACAGCATATTCCCAAAAGTATGATTTAAAAAAAACATTTGCTAAGTGGCTAAGCACATAATCTACTTTAATTATCTCAAAGCTGTTTGTCTATGGTTCCCCCCCAAGTTATGATAACATGCTGACACTCCATATGCTAAGGCAAGTAAAAGTAATTACCATCTTTTATTTATTTGTATTAATATCCCCAACATGACCGGATTCACATTAGCATTATTTGGGAATATTTATTTAAAAATTCCTGATTTTGCTAATAGTCCTCGGTGGTGTGTGGGAAGGTTTCTGTGGTACTGTTGAAAGATCCACCTTCATTCTTCAACGGAGGGTTTACAGTTTTCCTCATTGCAGTTTTACTTGCAGCAGAGTCGGTCTTGGACATCTTCTTCAGTTTTGAACTTTAAAGAAATAAAAAGTATAACTAACATTGCCCCAAAATATAAGAAAACGCAAAGCTTGTCTTGATTTTAAAGTCCATATTAAAACTGAAAAAAGTTGATATTTAAAAGTGAGTAGGAGTCCCGTACCTGAGTAATTTAAGAGTCTTCCTCACCCACTCATCCTTCTGTGTCGCACATACCTCATTCTTCATAACCGTGTAGAAACTACAATGGAGAGAAACATTATCAGACACAAACAGAGAGCATTGTATTGTAATTCAGTGTTCATGAGTCATAGTATTGATAACATATTTTGATAATTGTGCCTGTTTGATACTTGAGTTCCAGTACGGATTAATTATTGGAGAAATATTAACATTAAGTTCATATTAATTACATTTCTTTTAAGTTTTTCTACAAAAACTAAATAACACAAGTGTATCATATGCAGTGTTTTATTTTGTCGTACCGAACACAATTACGGAGCTTTAATTATAAAACATCAAAAGCTGTAGGCTTTATAACATGAAATATCAAAAAATAATAAGCTGGAGCAAGTGTCTTATCAAGTCAGTCCCAGCTTTTCAGCAAATATTCTAAACGGATTGAAGTTCGATACCCAGCTCTTGTTTAATTGGATTTGTGTCAATCTTAAAGTCTAGACAGCTTGGTTTAAAATCCTTTACAAACAGCATTTATGGAGATATGAAGCAGATCAAACAGCTGCCTTTTCATGAAGTCATGAAATCCACAGTAATTAGTTTTGATGGTAAAATGTTGTGGTAGACTAGATCAAAATTAATGTTCTATTTTTATTGCTGTATATTCTGAAAAACCAACATTAGTACCGCATGCCACAAAACAATTACCGATGTCTTTTAAATATTTTGGAAGATAGCCAATCAGTGCATTTTAATAGTCCCTCCGTTAAAAAGTCAGGTCAACAATGAAATTCAAATATCATCGACTTGAGTTTTGATGTTTTAGTGTGAGTGAGTCTTACATGATGGCCTCGATGTTGCAGTTTTCCTTGGCGGTTTGCTCTCTGTAGCCCTTTATACGCTGGAAGGGAACTGGCTTCCTGTTGTATCTCGTACAACAGGCATTGCCCATATGGGATCCCACTGGGCACAAACACACACCACATCATTAAAGAGCAGTTCAGCTTCAAGTCCCAACGTAATGTACTGTATTTAAATATGATTTACGGATGTGGTGAAATAAACTTACGGGCAGTTGGAGCTGGACCGAGCAGGCCCAGGATGAAGCAGAGGAGGACTGTTGTCACGGCGATCATACCTCTGGGAGCCATGTTAACAATGTGCAGAAGAAGCAGCGGGATCTTCTAAAATCCTAACCCACGTAAACTGTATATATACTTTTGGTTACAATTTTTTTTTTTAACCTGTGGCTGCTAAATTGAGGACAGGAAGCCCACTGTTGCATCATGGTAACCATATTTGCACCCATTGCACATTGATAATAGAAATTAAGCCTCTATTGTTCCATTACGCAACGCAAGGCACCTTTATCTACCTAGCACATTTCAAGGCAATTCAAAGTGCCTTTCAAAAAACCTTAAAAAGCATTAAGACATAGTGCAAAAGGACACACATAATTATACGATTCATTAACAGTGCATGGAATAAAAAGAAAACGAGCTACAGTGAAATAGAATAAGACTAAAACACAAGAATAAAAGGTACAGTTTTGTTTAAGATATGTAATTGGATGTAATGAAAATCAACACCTAAATGTGTTTATGTGGGCATGTGAGAGGACCACAGAGGAGCTGGCGCACTGATGCATATGGTTTATGCAATCTCCTTGGGCTTTCATCCATATTTATGCTTTTTGGGTTCATAATTGTGCTGTGAAGTTCCTCATATACAGCGAAGCAGATTCTAATCGTCACACTTTCTTCGCTTCATTTCGATTCCTCCAAAGCTTCAGCATATAGCTGAATATTTATCTCTCAGTGCATATGCCTGCATAATTACGCTTGAATGGAATTTGTTCCACAAAATATTGTCCTCATTTTGCTTCATATATTTGTTCTAGTGTTGACATAAATGAATAATATCCATAATGCAATATCCATAGTCATAATTTGACATTTTAGCTTAAAGCTGGAGTCAGAGTGTTTTACGTAATCAGCAATCTTAAGATTGTTTTGTGGTAAGAATGATGGAGTATGAGAGGTTTGTCAAAATCCCCCTTCCTCGTTAGCATGACCTATTTAGTTTGCAGAAAGCTGACAACTCCAAATCTTGCTCAGCTGACCTAGATAAGCGCAACATCTGCAAGTTGTAAACGCTCTATAGCGTACTATACGACTCATAAAATGCATGCTCAAGATGTAAATGACTAGTTGTAAAAATCAACGCCTCATGCTCAGTAAAAAAACTGTGAAATCTTCATGAATTAATTCATGATGCGGAGGGACGTAGGGTTTACACTACATACAGTATGTTATTACATGTAGATATTTTGCCAGGCAATATATAAACACTGAAACTACACTTTGGCATTTAGTGTCATTTTACATTCTTCAGAGTGATACTCAACGGATCCTTGAAGGAGAAATCTATTTCTGATGCCCTTTTCACAAGAAAATCAAGAGTGTGAAGGCCAGAAACAGATTAGGGCCACAACAGCTGATGGGGATTCAGTATGTCTTGCTCAAGGGCTCTTCAGAAATGCAGATGCTTGCTGTCATAGCACGGAGACAGCTGGAGAACCTGCTGCCAGTTAAATGAGTCCCCTTACTCTCACCACATGTAGCTATGATTAATAAGTGTGTGCACGCCACAAATGTGTGGATTTTTCATATCCTCACCCACAGACATTTACTGGAATGACTAAACTTAATAACAACTTTTTTCCCTTAAAATTAATGCTCCCTTGAATCATGAGTTAGTTAGACAGGAAGGAAATGAGCTGAAGTCACAATTTACTCCTGCTTTGGGGTTTATAATGATTGGAAATAACTGCCATAAGAAAACACAACCTTTTAGCTGTATTATTATTCTTCTTCTTCCCTTGCAGATAGATTTGCAAGATTAGAATACTAATGTCTTGACTATATTGGTATTTGGCTTATATTGGCACACTTTAATATTGTTCTCGTATTTTAAAGCACAGTCATCGCCTTGTCTAATCTAGTAAACCTAAATTAGTTTTAAGTGCTCCGAGCTTTGTCATTTCGTGACAGTTTTAAAGATCATGAATCATGATGTTCTCGTTATGACTTGCCTAACTTCCTAACCCTCCTTGAAACCTCCTCTGTCCTAACACTTGGCAGTCTGGCCCTCATGGCTCATTTTAGCACATTACATAAACCACTTCTGATGGTGTCCAGCAGCAGTTTGTTTTACCTTCACCCATAGGGGGGCAGTGTTGGTATTGGCCACAGATGGATGTCAAGCAAGACATAATAAATGGATGTGAAGTGAATACCTCACACAGGCTGAGTATCTGTCAAAACATTAGGAACTGCAAATCCAAGTAAAAATAAGATGGTTTGAGTGCTGCTACAATAATGTCAGCAGCAGAGAAGCAGTTAGACATAACAGCGCAAAAATGAAAGTTATTATCCTCGCCCACAGCAAATAGTCTTCAAACATTGCGTCATTGACACAGTGCGGTACATTGTTTTCACGAGTCCAGGAGCAGTTTTTACCCTGGCTTCTAATCTATCCTCTTTCTGTGTGTTTTTGCTTATGTTTGTGTAAACTCTTGAGACTATACTGATAAAGGGAAAAGGTAACATGATAAACTGGACGATCGTCAGGTTTGACAGCCTAATCCCTGCTAATCCTCCGTATAACACATCCTCTTATCCTCATCCTGTCTTTCTTCAATGAAGGACACACAAACAGACACAGTCACACACCCTTCTCTGAAGTTACAGCCCTGCTTCAAAGGGTTACTCTCATTATTCATTAGTGCACATTTTTTAATTATAACAAGTTGAGGGTTTGATAATAAAATCAACAACATTTTTTTAAACGAGTCAATCCCAGATATCTTTTCAGTAATCTAATAATAATCAGTTAGTTGTTTCATATACGTATTAAGATGCCAATAAATCAGATTCACCACTCTCCGTTGTTTTTTATCACTGAAAATAGATGATTAATCATTTGGAGCACTTGGACTGTTGGGTAAACACAAATAAAAACCTACTTAAAATGTCCCCTTGAAAAAGAACTGGCAGATTCACCAATCATAAAAATAATCACTGCAGTCCAAAACATTTCTTAAAAAAGCCATATCTGAAAATAATATCTAAATTAGACAAAAATACCTTTTTTTCTCCACAGAAATTCAAATATTCAAGGTTTAAAAAAAAGGGGAAATCAATCAACCCATGTTTATTCTTTCAACAAAAACGCCAATTTTGGCACAACATTGACACGTTTTTACCATAGCGACTGGATTGGCCAACTATTAGCAAACTGTTGCCTAAGATGCAGCTGACATGCAGGCTCATTTGCATTTACTCATAACACTCCCTCGAGCTGAGGGGAACTCCTGATCTGGGTGATAATTCTGTGTCCGTTCTTCACTAACAGTGACTCTTTTAACACCAAATGTCATTTTAACTTTTGTTAATTTAAAGAAATATTGGGTTCAGCAGCTTTAACAGCAGTAAGTCGATTTTTTTTTTTTTAAAGTCATTGTTAATGTGCTGTTTACTTCTTTCAGCAGTCTCCCAAGAATCTCTTAGCAACCACTTCTTGTGTTTTGTCTTATTTTTACAGAAGCTGCTACTTCATTATCAAAGGCCAACGTGCATTTTAATAAAATGTTCTTATTATGCTTATTTTTTGGCGATTCCAACATTTTGGCCAGTGCATTAGCTCGAGGGTTGGAGTGAAGCAGCCCTTTTCTCCTCCTGGGCCCCTCGCCCTTTTTTTTGGACTCAAACTGGTCGACGGAGGGCAAGAAAAGGAGGAAGGGGAGGGGAGAGGAGGAAGGGTGAGGGTAAAAAGAGAGGGGGTCACCATTGAGTTGTCCACCCACACAAGACCCCCTCCGGTCACCTGCGTGGGCTTGGGCCAAAAGAAAGGCGAGGATGCGCGCACACACAAAAAGAACAAAAACGACAGCTTTCTAACCCCAAATGTCAAATATGGCAAAAGGAGCTGGGATAAAAGTGTTTTAAATTAGCAGGAAACTTCCTCAAAACAACAGTATTGAGCATTATCAGTATCCGTAAAAGCACTTCACAACAGAGGAGAGTAAACGCAGCGAGGGAGGCGAGAGGGAAAAGCTCTCACAGCACTTGGCTGTGGCATGGTCTTCAAAAAAAAAGCCCAGTTTATCATAATTAGCATTGTTCCAGACTGTCAAACCCGTGAGGCACGGAAAACAATGCACTCTTCAATATTTTATTGAGGAGTTATGTTAAGTTACTTGATGTATAATTATGTGAGCTTGGCGGATTCTGTCCTCACCGTCTCCTCCTACATCCCATCTGCCCTGCGTGTCCAGAGTGTGGGTGACTGAAGTAGCTGCAGGGGGGGGTATGATGAATTATTATGGAAAATTATAAGAAAACTTGTGATGTAACAGTCTGAGTTGCACTTCTGCTGTTGAAGCCACAGAATGAGTAGTAAAAGACGAAAAGAGGGGAAAATATAGACTTAAAGGACCTGTGACTTTAGGAAGCGCTCCGAGGTATTTCAGTCTGGCAGAGCTAACCCTTTGCCATGGGAGACTCTGGAGGATACAGTGAGCCAGAAGAGGTGAGGAGAACGGAGGGAAAGAGTGTAGAATGGTAGAAAGAGGAGTATTTTTAGGGTGGTCTGTTATCTGCAGAGACGAGGGCGTGCGGTATCACAGCCGGGTCACAGCGCTGAGGGGGAAACAGCAAAGACTGTCCGCCGAGACCGCAGATAAGGAGGAACAGAACACTGAGATCTCTCTCTGTCTCTCACACTTGCACGTCCACAAAGGCACACTCAGTCTTGTAACCACATCCACAGGAAAATACATGCTTCACTCTCACATGTCCTCTCAATGGAACCCTCAGACGTGTTTAAGATCACTTGTGAGTGGAGACTCTCAGCTCCACGGGTGACTGGAGAGGGGCTATTGCTCAGGTGACTGAGAGACAACACCAACATTATCGTAAAATCTCTTCACTAACTATTTATCTCTGTCTTTCTCGTGCTCTCGCTTTTTTTCTGTCTCTCCTGTATAGTAGCCCTCTGAAGATGTAAATGCCAGCAGAACAGATGGATGGAGAGAACATCTCATCACTGACACCATGTTTATGCAATCACACAAAAACACACAGACACAGACACACACACACACACACACACACAAAC